GAACAGCCATCTGATCTCATTGCTCCAGCCCACACTCCCTGAGTCAGGGCCTGGCTCTGGGCCCTGCTCTGTGAGGGGGGCTGGAGCGGGGTCAGTCACACCTCCCAGCCTCCTCCAGCCGGGGCTGTGCTGGCGTGGCCTACTCTGCTCCTCCAAGCTGCTGGGAGGGTGGGCAGTGCCGGGCAGCCCCTCCTCCACATCACCAGGCAGTGCTCTCTGTGCCCCTTGCACGGTGGGGTCCTGTGGTGGTGGATGGGGCAGGGCTGTCCTCAGTCCTCTTAGCAATCCCTGGCAAGCTTCATTTCAACCCACCAGATGGAAAAGGAGCTGGGAAAGGCTCTGTAAACACGGCTCCCTTTGAAAACAAAAGCTGTAATTCTCCTGTCCACGGTGACTCACAGTGCTGGGTTTGCATTAAAGCACCAAATCCTCCACACAAAACGGGGATTTGCCTCTTTAAAACAAGGCTGATGGGACTTAAAAGCCGGGTCTGGGTCAGCTACTGAAAAGGAGGCACAGCCTGCGTGTGTGTGCGTGTGTGTGTGTGTGTGTGAGTGTGAGTGTGAGTGACACACAGGCAGAGTGGGCGTTGGCTCCAAGCCAAGCAGAAACTGACGAATGGTTTAATTTATAAATATCTGGCTACATGTTATTTGCAAGAAGCGCCCTGCAAAGCCCTGACCCCTCTGGGGTGGTCGCTAAATATTGTAATTAACACAGATTGGCCTCTTCCAAAAACACCCTTGAAATAAGCCAACCTGGAGACAGCATAAACGGGAAGTGGGGAGAAAATCCACTCCCGGGCAGGTTCTGGCACCACAGGTCAGCCTGTCTCGAGCTTTACAAACATATTAAAGATAATTAGACACAACAGTGGCGTCTATAAACAAGCCCATGGTCTGGAAAGACTTTCCCCCTTGGTGGGGAGCTCGATCCATTCAGAAAAAGGCCCTATGGTTGTCAGCGCAGACGAGAACACAGAGCTCTGGGAAATGGAGATTGCAAAGAGCTCATTTGCCATCCAAACCATCTTTCAGCATGGGAGATGGCCAGAGCAGGTTTTCGACTTTATCTTTGGGTCTTATCAAAGCCATTAAACAGCTAATAGCCCCGATTGCAACATAACCAGCAAAGCCCAGCAGCTGGGCCAGTGATTGCCACAAATCCGGCTTTTCAGGTGGGCAGTTTTGGGGGCGTTTGGTTGGGGAAGTCGGGACAAAGGCTAATCACTTGCGATATACACTCTTGTCAGACATTAATAGATGGTCTCTGTGTCACCCAGAGGAGAAAGCAGCAATGAAAGTAACCAAACCATTAGTGACTTATTAGTCAAGCAGCAGGATCTTATTATACTAGGTGGAGGGTTATACAAAGGAGTTTGAAGTTCACCTCCCAGAGTATAATGCCAGCCACCTCTTAAACCTGTCTACATGGTGTTTCAGTACAATTCAAACTGATATTGTTACAGGGGTTACACCAACCTGATGGCAGCGGGGCCACTGGGATAGCGGGAGACAAGGCGTAAAGCATCCGCTGCAGAACATTGCTTACGCTGAGTTCTCCGGTTCATTCTGCCTGGCGGCTCTGTCTGCACAGCAGGGATCCCAGCCCACAGAGTTAAGGAATATGCCCTTTTTTGCGTCAACTGATCCTCTCTACAGGTGTCGTGAGCCCTACAGACAGGATCCAGTTACAGGATCAGGGCCAGAAACCTTAGCTGCCCTCTGTTATACTAGTCACAAAGTGGAGACTTAGGAGTAGACGAAGAATTCAGTGGGCTGACCGATGCAGCAGATTGAAAGGAATTGCAAACCGGCTTGCAAATTAAGCACATCCAGGAAGGATGGTCCAGTGGTTGGGGCACTAGTCTATGACTTGGATTCAATTCCATGCTCCGCCACAGACTTCCTGTGTGACCACGGGCAAGTCACTTAGATATCTGTGCCGCAGTTCCCCATCTGTACAATGGGGACAAGAGTCCTGCCCTACAGGGGTGTGTGAGAACATATACATGGAAGAAGAGCTGTAAGATACTGATGCTATATAAGAGCAGGACATTATTATTATTTCCCACTAACGTTTGTCCAAGTGCATTCATTCCCTCTTTGGGATCACTTTTCGGGACGTTTCTAGCCAAGGAACATCTTGGAAACTCTGAATTTTTAACAACTATTTCTGGATATTTGCAATGAGCCAGTTTCCAATGTGTAATCACAAGCTTTTGCACCAGTAAATGGTTCCTAAGAGCGATGTTCAACCAATCAGGAAAGAGAAACAAAGCACCTGTCCAACAAAAACAGCTTGGTCGTTGTCTGCGGAATGGTCTCGGGAACCAGCTCACCAATGAGCTGCAGCCCAAAGATCGCTCATAGAAATGATACAGCAAATCACTGGTTCACACTAGCTCCTGGGGGGGGCCATCGTAGATGAGAACTCCATTGTACTGGGTGCTGTACAAACATGGCACAAAAAGAGAGGCTGGGACTGTTCTTAATGTGGTCTTTGAATGCTGAGTGGGGAGTGTTGGCCTGGGAAGGTTGCAGGGGAGTTTGGCTGCATTGGGGGATGGGAGACTGGCCTTGAGGGAAGATACCTGAGCATGTAACGTGAGAACCCAGGAAGGGGTTAGAGGCCAGGTGACACCTTGGCCCGGGAAACTGAACAAAGGCTGGGAGAGGAGACGCTGGGGAGAGGGAGAGTTTCAGGAGCTGCTGTTGTAATGGAGGGGAGCCCAGACAGGGCTCTGACCCCCCAATGGGGCTGTGGTGCCCCTGGGACCTCAAGATGGACCTAATTGGGGGGGCGGTCCTGTTGTCTGTGCCTGCAAGACCTGTCTTGGACTGTGTTCCTGTCGTCTAAATAAACCTTCTGCTTTACTGGCTGGCTGAGAGTCATGGTGAATTGCAGGAAGCGGGAGGTGCAGGGCCTTGTGTCCCCCCACACTTCGTGACACCCTCCCCCAAGGATCTTACAATCTAAGGCCCTGATCCTGCAGACGCCTAGGGGACTACTCACTCGTGGGAAAATGACAGGTTTCAGAGTAGCAGCCGTGTTAGTCTGTATCCGCAAAAAGAACAGGAGTACTTGTGGCACCTTAGAGACTAACAAATTTATTAGAGCATAAGCTTTCGTGCATCCGAAGAAGTGGGCTGTAGCCCATGAAAGCTTATGCTCTAATAAATTTATTAGACTCTAAGGTGCCACAAGTACTCCTGTTCTTTTTTCATGGGAAAATGAAGCAAATGCTTCAGGATCAGGGCCGAATAGGACAATGGATACAAAAAAGAGGCACAAGGTCTAACTGAAAGGCAGTCATCGCAGAGGGGGGCAGGGGCCCTGACCAGGAGCAGATTGTGCGCAGGATGCCTATGTAGTAAGGAATAACTGCGAGAAAGTCGTGATCTAATCGCAGACAGAAATTCATCCATTATTCATTAACCACTAACGGGCCAGGCCGGGTAACTTCCCAGTCAAGAGCGACACTGGGCCAACGTGTCAGCAGCTGTATCTCTTTGCATCAAAGAGCTGCCTGGAGCCTGTCATTCCCAGAATGCACTACTCCATCCTGAGCTCTAAAGCAGTGGTTCTCAACCTTTTTGGGCTCAGGACCCATTAGTAAATGTTTATGGCCAGTCACAACCCAGGGGTGGAGGCCCTGGGGCGGTTTTGGTTGGATCCTCACCTTCTGTGCTGTGAGAATGGCTGGGCTTGGCTCTCCGCTCCGAGCTGTGCAGCCTCTGGGGTTGCAGCGCTGCTCAGCCCCGCCCCCCTGACTGGACCAAATTTGTGTGACTGGAGTTGTGACCTGGCTCATGGGGTTGTAGTGTCACTCACTTAAATTTGGGTTACCCAGGCTCCCATCATCATGACAGCTGGGCCAAACATGAGTGGCGCTGGGATCCCAGAGGTTGCAGTGCCTGGAGGATATAGGCAAGCCCAGCCTGTCCTTTGGGACAGGAGCTGCCACGCAACCCTTTTAAAAGTTCTGGCGACCCAATTTTGGGTCCCGACCCACGGGTGGAGAAACCCTGCTCTAAAGCACTACTTTGTTCTGTAGACTGCTTGGATCAAGATGCAGCACCACTGGCAACCTATGTTCCTGCACCTGCATTTGGATCAAGACAGACCAGGTGTCTGGGGCGCTAAGCATTGTGGCCTGCACAGGGGCCCCCATCCAATTGTCAAGGGGAGCTTTGGTATTGTAAGAACGTCACAGTGAGACCTGTCCTGCTGTATGATCCTGTGCTAATTCGGCATTGCATGGCCCTACCTGATCTGTGTTAGAGCCACCCATGGAAGCTCACAGCCCGGCCCTCCGCTGCCAATCCCACCCACATCATGTTTTGGGCACCCCACAGTGCATGGGCAGGACCGTGGGGCTCGTGGTACGAAGGGCAGTGCCAAGCCCCAGATTGATCTGTTCCTGTTTCTGGCTGGCAGAGGGCGTGGTGTCCTTTGAGTCAGCTGATGATGTTTACTGGGAATGCAAGTCATGATCCCCCTAAAACCAGAACAAACAAGCGCAGGGACCATATAGGAGCCCAGGGTCGGCCTCAGTCCCTCTTAGCAGGGTGGGAGAACAAGCATCCCATGGGGAACAGGTGAGGGAAATAACCCGAGGAGTCTTTCCCAGCTCCCCGGGGGAGGGGCGGGAGGGAGGAAACCCAGGAGCTGAGTGCCCTGATGGCGCTGGGAGCAGACCCTGCATTGGGGCAGGCTCAGCCTGCTGGTGGGAGGCAGCGTTAGTGCCAAACCCCCGTTCCCGATCGCCCGGCCAGGGCCCCTCGTTAGGATCCAGAGTGAACAGCCCGTGGCCGGGGTCGACTGGAGCGGGAGCCGCGCCCATCCCAGCAAGGGGCGTGGCCATGACCCGGGGGTGGCGAATGGCCGCGCGGCAGCGAGAAAGGGGGCCGTGTTCTCCCTGCGTCACGCGCCGGATGCGTGCTCGGCCGGGGGGCGGGGCCGGCGGGTCACGTGGGCCGGCTCAGGCTATAAAGCACGGCCCGGCGCCGGCGGCAAGCTGCGTGTGCTGGGAGCTGGTCGGGACAGTGGAGCCGCCTAGAACCAGATCGACACCGCGGTGAGCGCCGCGCTCGGGCTGGGGGAATGGCGGAGCGCTGCCCGCCGGCAGGAGCCGGGGCTGGGGCGCGGCTCGCGGCACAGGGCGGGGGGAGGACAGGGCTCTGCGCGCGCCGCGCCCCCTCCCCCCACGTGCGCCCGGCTGCCCGCGCGGCCCTGGACCCGCCTGAGGCGAGGCGCGCGCGGGAGCAGCCGTTTCCTGCTGCGCGGGAAGGAAAGGCTGGCGCGCGGGGTCGCGCGGGAGGGGTGCCCCCGGGCGGGGGATCTGGGGAGCGGGTGATGCGTGGGGGGGGCAGTGGGGCGGGGCGCAAGGGGCTGTGCGGCGTCTGGGGTGACGCCCCATGTGTAAGGGACCTGGTGGGTGTTGGGGGGCAGCAGGGGCCCCAGCTCCTCCAGGGCGTGGGGTGCCTGGTGGGTGGGGGCACAGCCTGTGTGGGGGCGAGCGGTGGTGAGGCTGGGTACTGGAGAGGTGGTGCAAGGTGCTCTGGGCACAGCCCCCTCTCGCCTGGGCTAGCTGGCAGCATGGTGGCACTGACTCCTGTCCCAGTGGAGGGTGACAGCAGGGCATGCTCGATTTGTCATTTGCAGGATGCCCACCTGTGTGCTGGCACCGAGTGCCTGCTGGCACGGCCTGGCTGAGCTCAGGGTTCAGAGGAACGTGTGGCTGCCCTTTCAGAGCCCCTTGGGAGGGGAGGGCTCTCAAAGCAAAGTTTGAATTCACAGGGAGGTGATGGAAGTGCCGTGTGGCTACAGCGGGGTAGGCTAGCTAGGCAGGGCTCTTCTGCCCCTTGGGGCTAATTCACCTGGCCTGACTGTAGTGCAAAATGGAGGGTGAACGTTGAGTTTGCTAGGATTTTATATTGAGGTAGCTGAGATAAGGCTCGGGTAGTTCTTAATTATCTGTAGCTAGTTTGAGGCCCCCATGTACCTCCCACCTGGGGCTTACCTTGATATAGCCAATTGACATAAAAACAAGTGACTTGTTCCCTTGAGATTTTGACACTAAGGCCAGGTCTACACTAGGAAACTGGATTGATCTAGTTCCACACCCCTGAGTAAAGCTGTTAGGTCAGTTTAACTCCCTGTGTAGACGGTGCTGGTCAATGGGTTCTCCCGTCAACCTAGCTAATGCCTCTGAGAGTTAGGGTTCTGGCTACAGCATACGTAACCTGCATGTCAGTGTAGGTAGTGTCTTCACTGAAGTGCTGCTGCAGCATTTTAAGTGTAGACAAACCCAAAGATGGCTAACTTGATGTAAAAACACTCCATTTTTTGCTGTGAAGACTTAGCCTTAATGGGTGCCTAAAACAGTGAGGGGCTGAGTATCCACAGAGCCTGTAGATTTCCAGGTGCATGGTGGCTATTTGGTGCCTCTAGTGATAATTTTTTTTATATGAAGATATACCTATCTCATAGAACTGGAAGGGACCCTGAAAGGTCATTGAGTCAAGTCCAGCCCCCTGCCTTCACTAGCAGGACCAAGTACTGATTTTGCCCCTGATCCCTAAGTGACCCCCTCAAGGATTGAACTCACAACCCTGGGTTTAGCAGGCCACTGCTCAAACCACTGAGCTATCCCTCCCCCCACTTAAGGCTCACTTAGATGCCCCAATGTGGACTTTGTAATTTCCTCAGGGGGCAGATGGTGGGCATAATCCCTCTTGAGGTTACATCTTGGAATCTGAGTGCTAGCTGGGTCCCCCACTTGCTCACTTTGAGGTACTGCAGCCACATAGAAAACCCAATTTTCTGCCTCCATGCAGCAGATGCTGTTTCCCCAGTGTGCTTTGTAGGCTTGCCTTTTCAGGCAGATTGTTCTGCCTTTCCTCTCTCCAGTCTAGTAGGGGGATGATCCTTGGCAGTGTTTCAGGGAGTTTCAGTTTAAGTGGGCCTGTTGCTCAGATGGAAGGTGTTGCTGCTTCCATTCCAACTCATGGTCAAGGTATCTGCAGCCCTTCCTCCTACTTTGCAGCAGAGGTGGTAATGGTGTGTGAGGAGGTCTGGGGCTGGTGCAGTGCAAGATCTGATGTTAAATTGGCTGGATATTAATCTCCTGCCTCTTCTCAGTGTTGTGGTGAAGCATGGCTGCAACACAGATAGGGTAGAGGGAGAAATAACAGATGTAGGACCTTCTGACATATCTGTGATGGGCTCCTTCCTTCCCAAATGCTCTTGGGGAAAGGCAAGAATCTTAATGAACAGTGTCTTTCCTGCTCTGATTCTTGAGGGGTGGGGAGAGGGCTTGCTCCCTCTTCTGATGGCCCTTTTCAGGGACAGCCAGAGCCAGTGCTGTCACCGTAGGGACAGGCAGCAAACAAACCAAGAGAGTGAGTAATTTCTGCAGCAGCAATAGCCAGGCTAAGCACAAAAGACTGCAGCTTAGGACACAAGGTACTAAGGGGAATTCAGCTGACCTGCCAACATGCCTTACTCAAGTCATTGTTCAGGTACAGGATTTGCAGACTGACTGGGGCTTTTTCTTATTTTGGTGCTTGTCCACACTAGATAGAGGTGCTGTTAGCTATCAGATTTTAACATGTTAAAATCCTGGTGTAGATGGGATAAGTTGCAGGTTTAACATGTTAGCTGGCCGGGGTGAGCCATGGTGTTAATTGTCTTGCAGCAGGGCTTCAAAGGGAAGCCACTTCCACTCTCCTGCTCCACTGCAGCTTGCATCTGCGACCTAGCAACAGCTCACTTAATCCAGGAATCTTTGCTGGAAGGCAGAGATAGCGATCTTGGGGTTTTGTTACACCCAACATTATAGTATCTGATAACCTGCCATTTAATAGTGGCAATAGTGAAGTCCCTTAAGGGCTTCATGGAGTCTGGCACTTCTCTCTTTTTGGGGCCAAAACTCTGCTTGGGTAGAGGTTGTTGTTTTTTGGTAGGATTTTAAGGATTGAAAGGGCTCTGTGCTGAGTGTCTCTTATGTTGGAAAGAGCTGAAATTGGTAGACCCAGTGCCTGACGTGCCTACCTTCCAGCAGATAATGTTTTCCGCCTCGTGTTTTTGGCTGCACTTCTCCCACCTTCTTGTATATGCACACCCTATCTGTGGCCCCATAAAGTTGCGGGACCTCATCAACCTCCTAGCGGTGGCCAAAGTGGCAATCTTGAACACCAGAGAGGAGATGTTGGCTGAGTGGGTTCTCTCTGACTGTGGAGCCTGTTTCCAGTCCTCTCTCCACTCACATATCCAGGCAGAATTCCTCTGGGCAGCGACTGCTGGCTCCCTTGACACCTTTGAGGTTCAGTGGGTGTTGTCCAGGGTTCTCTGCTCGGTGTCCCCCTCAGGTTCCCTACTTTTGACCCTGACCTTGTTTTTTTCTGTTGTCCCACATAATCCTGGGCCCTGTGGATCCTCCCCATAGGCTGGGGAAGAGTCCTTTAGTTCCTTCCTGGAACCCAACAAGAGCAGATAATGTTTGTAGCCTGTTCAGGAAATACTTGGCCTGGAGTGTGCCTTTCAGGCTAGTAGGGATGGTGGCTAAGTTTGTCTTAATAGATTTAAGGTAGGGTTCTGTGGTACTGCCTGCTTGCTTTTAGGTCCCTGCTCCACACGGCAGCATGGCGCGCGTGTTGGAATCGGCCCCATTCTTCTAGTCCAGAGCTTGTATCTCTCTCCAAGGAAAAATAATTGATCTGGTACTTGCTGTGGGTCTCATGCCCTCTTATTTTACCACGTTCAGCAACTAGACTCCACTGAAGTGCTCTCTAAAATCACTGGCTCAAATCCTCTTCTCTATAGGCTGGAGAGCAGCTCCATTCCAAATCCTGATGGCATTGTCCATGTGGTGGTACTCTTTTAAGCATGCCTGCAGGGGGAGCTGGCATTCAGCTTGGATGGTGGGAGGGTAGAAATCACAAGGGATCTTGTGTCCCCATCTGCATGGTGGAACATAGGCAGAAGGCCAGGAATACAGCACTAATGGAGCAGCAGGTAGTCACTTATGTTTCCTAATGGGTACCCAGTGTGGCCTCTAGCTGCTAAACAGGGATGTAAGCTTAAAAAATGGCCTTGCTCTAACTATTTGGGGGAAGTCTCACTATGCTATAGCCTTGTGCTCACTTAGCCAGCATCCATGGACCATGGGGACTCAGTTCTCTCTCTCTCATTTCAGGATGAAGAACTTGTGTTCTCTATTTTCTGCACCATGGAATTTTATTCAGCTCGTTTAATTCTCCAGAGCCACAGGAACTTTAGAAAAGAGATTCCCATACACACCGTATAGCAGTAACTCTCTGGTTCTGAACATATCTTCGTTTAGTTTATTTAATTTGTAACATTATTTATTATAATATTTTCATACCTCATATTTTGTTTATGTATCAAAGTTGCAAATTCCTGTTAATTTGAAACCACTAAATTAATAACATGGAATCCACAATTGAATCAACAACGGCTCTGATGGATCTGCTAACCAGTACGATAGGAAGTAAGGCATCTGGTCCCATGGTAGCTTTCCTCTGGATGCTGATATTGGGCTTCATCATTGCCTTTGTGTTGGCGTTTTCTGTGGGTGCCAATGATGTGGCAAACTCGTTCGGAACTGCAGTGGGGTCGGGTGTGGTGACTCTGCGGCAAGCATGTATCCTGGCATCCATCTTTGAAACGGTGGGCTCTGTTCTGCTGGGTGCTAAAGTGAGTGAGACCATCCGGAAGGGGTTGATTGACGTGGAGATGTACAACTCTACACAAGAGCTACTCATGGCCGGCTCAATCAGCGCTATGTTTGGTGAGTAACATTCTAGCTGCAGCAGCAAAGTGATTAAGTACACATGGATTAGTTATCTTGTTGGAGTGTCTGTCCCCAAATCTGCCATATATTGTAATGGTGACTAGTCACTGAGACACAACTTTGTTGTTTTAGGGTCAGCTGTGTGGCAGCTAGCAGCTTCATTCTTGAGGCTTCCCATTTCTGGTACCCATTGTATTGTTGGAGCAACAATTGGCTTTTCGCTGGTGGCCAAAGGACAGAAAGGCGTCCAGTGGTCAGAGCTGCTTAAAATTGGTAAGTAAAGTACAACCCACTAGCTTTTTCAGATGGTGAGGTGTGGCATTAATAAAACCTATCATAGAACATTAGGGTTGGAAGAGACCTCAGGAGGTCCTCTAGTCCAATCCCCTGCTCAAAGCAGGACCAACCCCAACTAAATCATCCCAGCCAGGGCTTTGTCAAGCCGGGGCCTTAAAAACCTCTAAGGATGGAGATTCCACCACCTCCCTAGGTAACCCATTCCAGTGCTTCACCACCCTCCTAGTGAAATAGTGTTTCCTAATATCCAACCTAGACCTCCCCCACTGCAACTTGAGACCATTGCTGCTTGTTCTGTCTATGGCAGGGGTCGGCAACCTTTCAGAAGTGGTGTGCCGAGTCTTCATTTATTCATGCTAATTTAAGGTTTTGCATGCCAGTAATACATTTTAACGTTTTTAGAAGATCTTGCTATAAGTCTATAATATATAACTAAACTATTGTTGTATGTAAAGTAAATAAGGTTTTTAAAATGTTTAAGAAGCTTCATTTAAATAAATTAAAATGCAGAGCTCACCTGACTGGTGGCCAGGACCCGGGCAGTGTGAGTGCCACTGAAAATCAGCTTGCGTGCCGCCTTCGGCACACATGCCATAGGTTGCCTACCCCGGTCTATGGCCTTGTCCCCAACATTGGATTAGTAAGAAAAATATAACTGGGTTTTACTGCCCAGAGCCACCTTCTAGTAGCCAGGATATTAATCGCCTCTTTATCTTCTGTCCTAGTGTTGTCCTGGTTCATCTCTCCCCTGCTTTCTGGCATCATGTCTGCTATCCTGTTCTTCCTTGTCCGTATGTTCATTCTTCGTAAGGTAAGGGTGCCAGATCTCCACAATCTGCATCTGCTGTGTGAAAACTGTTCTGCAACTGAAATTGTATGAGCAGATAATAGGAATAACCATTCCCGGTCAGGACAGTCTTAAATGCTTATTACTGAGAACTTCGTGATCTTTAATGTTTTGATCCATGCATCTCCCAGACTAGCACCCTAGCTGCTGGGCTGCCCTTCATAATTACTGGGTACCTACTTGCCACAGGCTGATATGAACTTTTTTTGTGGGGAAGGGAGCATAGAGATCCAGTGCAATGTTCTGAGAAGCCCTGTCCCCAGCAGTGGGCATGGAAGAGGTTGCTGGGATAGTAACCTGGCAAGTGTCTCCAGGCCTTCTTTGAATGCTCCATCTTTCATATCTGTCTCTGGCTAGTGGTTATCTCAACACTCTGGAGACTTGAAGACAGGAGGAGCTTTCTCTTCTTGCCCTCCTATCCAAAGCTGCTAGTTCAGGGGTTAATATTCCACACCTATCTCATGTTCAACCAGATGGAGAACAGAAGCAGGCATAGCTTCCCCAGCAGCAGCATGAAACTGATAAGACGCTGGCTACTTGTGCTGCTGTCCAATGCCTTGTGGGCTGCAAATCAAACCGACCAGTGTATCTTGGCTTTGTGTTGCAGCTTGTTACCTAGTAGCAGTAGAGTTAATTCTGGCTGCAGACTGGAAAGCATCACTGCAACTAGAAGGGCTAGAAACTTCTCTTTAATAAAACATAAAGTCTGTAGACACTGGCTTATGCATCAGACTTCCAAGGGCAGGCTAGCTGAGTAGACCAAATAGATTTTGAAATACCTTATCCTCAGACCCATTTCATGTTAATACCATTCTGCCTGCCTCTTGTTTATACTATCCAAGTCTCTCTCTCCCCCCAGCTTGTACTATGCAGTGGTGTTGTAGCTGTTAGGATTGTAAAGAGAGCTCTTTAGCCTTTCCAAGGCAGGAAGGAATCTTGCACCTTGATTGCCACTTGGCACTCAATGGAACAGTTTGTGGAAGTGCCAATTAGAGCTAGTTGTAACTTGAATGACCTGCCTTAGCATTAAAATGCCTGGGAGAGCTCTGCCCTTGTGATGGAAACTCTGCTTCTATGCATGACTGAACTGGCAGCTTGCCTACACAGGGAAACTTAGGGCTTGTCTACACTGGCACTTTACAGCACCGAAACTTTCTCGCTCAGGGGTGTGAAAAAACACACCCCTGAGCGCTGCAAGTTGCAGTGCTGTAAAGTGCCATGTAGACCGTGCACCAGCGCTGGGAGCTATTCTCCTTGTGGAGGTAGGGTTTTTTAAGAGCATTGGGAGAGCTCTCTCCCAGCACTGTGCTGTGACTACACAAGACACGTTAAAGCACGTGGCAGCGCTTTAACGTAGCCAGTGAAGACGTGCCCTTAGCAGCAGAACTGTACTGATACAGATATCTGCAATAGCTCCCCAGGTACTTGAATGTGTCTACATAGGCAGTTGTATTGGAATAACTACAGCAATATAGTCTTGCTAATTTCTTGATGTAGGCAAGCCCTCATGGATCTTGGGCTCATGTCTTAAATTAAACCTGCAGACCAGAGGTTCCCAAAACAACTGTCTTGAGATTCCACCAACCTAAAACCAGTTGCTTGAACTTCAGGATGGGCTTTGTCTGGGACGTTTGACTGTATTGGGCTGAACTCTACTCAACCAGACAAATGCTTTCTGTTGTGAGATTCCTTGGTTTGGAACTCTTTACAAATACTGTTCTAGTAAGTGGAACAAAAGTAGCAGTTGGAAATGGGAGCATGAAATGAAACTCGTTTGAATGATTTAACACAAGCCACTCTCTATACTCCTGCTGTTCAGTATGCTGAGTAGATCAGTAATCTGAATGTGAATTAACACTAAGCATGCTTGTAGTGTACAGACTAGATTGCTGGTCAAACAGATGCTGTAATTATATAGAGTCTAGTGTCCAGGATTCAACTTGTGTGTAAACGGCTTACAAATATAAAACTAGCTCTGGAGTTACCAAGTATATTTTGAGGATGTTATTGAGTAGGTTAAAATGAACTTCAGATCTCAAATCTAACTCCTGTGGATTCTGCTTTGAAAAATGCAGTAGTTCATTTAGCACAGCTGGCAGATTAATATTGTATAACTGGCCTTTCAAAGTTGTACTCACTACTTAACACTTATTCAGATGCTTTTGTAATAGGACAAAGCAAACATGCGCTTCAATACATTAAATTTCACTGAACATTGAGCATCAGAACACTTGGGTTTGGCTCCTGGTCAACAAGTCTCAAACAATGCCATTGCCTGGATGAGGTGTTGCTTTCAGTACATAGGAATGCATTTGTGAGTAATCTCTCTGAATCAGTCAAATGACTTTAACAACAATTGGCCTGACTCACCTGGGGAAATGGAGGAAAAAGCCCTTTTGACAAATGAGATTTTTTCCAAAAGAGAATTCCTTTAGTGGATTGAAGCAAAGACTTTTAGAAAGTGCTGTTGAAAACTGAGTTTTTAGAGAGCATCTGTTCTGATGGGTAGGCTATTGAATACCTGAGAGCAAAATCCAGAGCCTTACAGAATACAGAGAGCAAACAAAGTCTTGGAGCATAGCTACTTTGATGTCTAAGGCCTTGGCTACACTCGGGACTTCTCAGCGCTGCCGCGGCAGCGCTGTGAAGCGCGAGTGTAGTCGCGCCGCCAACGCTGCGAGAGCTCTCTCGCAGCACTGTATGTACTCCACCTCTCCGAGGGGAATAGCCTGCAGCGCTGCAAGCGAGCGTGCAGCGCTGCAGGCTCTGATTACACTAGCGCTTTACAGCGCTGTACTCGCGGGGGTGTTTTCACACCCCTGAGCGCAGCAAGTTGCAGCGCTGTACAGCGCCAGTGTAGCCAAGGCCTAAAACTTAAAAGTAAAATGCTCTTAAGTGAAGAGTTCTCAAGCATCAGATTCCATCCACTCTGTGGGATGGGCTGTTCAAAAGGCAACATTGCTGTTTCAGGGAATGTGCATTTCTGCTTTGAAACAACAATGGCATCAGGGGAGATGCCCATTTCTGTCTTCAACATGGAAAGTGCTCTGTTCACAAGTAAGGAGAGAGACTAATTGGCAACCCTAAAACCCCACTGCATCTTGTGATGCACAAGTTCTAAGGGTTCTTCAGGCCCAATTCTCTCCTTGCTGACTCCTATGCAACCCCACTGTGGACAGAGCTTTCACAGCTGTAATATATAAGCCTCTAATTGGCATTTAGCAAACAATTCTGTTTGCACAAGAGACTCTATCTCCCTCTTCTGGAGCTGCCTCTGCTGGGCTAGTAGGAGGGAAGTAGTAAACTTTTAAGTCTAAGTGCTCAAAACAGAACTTTGTAAGAAGTTATTTTTCTACACTCTTCCATGTAGATGTGTACTTTAAGTATCTGCTTTGCTGTTGGGTTCAGAGTCTGGGATCTGGATTTGTATAGCATCAAAACTAATCTGTTTTACAGGCAGATCCAGTTCCCAATGGGTTGCGAGCTTTGCCAGTCTTCTATGCCTGTACAATTGGGATCAACCTCTTTTCCATCATGTACAGTGGTGCACCTTGTAAGTACATGTCAAATACTTCAGTGCTAATTTTATAATTCTTTACAAAAACCTCCATTAAATGCATGATTTACCCCTTTTGCTTTACAGGGCTGAAATCTCCTAGAAGGCTGCCGGCCTGTGCCGGCTACAGAAGGCTGCAGGCTAGCGTGCGCTGAGTTCTAACCTAGATAGTTACCCAACCAAAGAGGCCTGCTCAAACTCTAAATCACTACAGAGCTTTCTCCTTAGTCTTCACAGGAACAGCAGATAACATGACTTCCCCTTTCCTCTCTCCTACTTATGCTAGAGCTCAGTAACCCAGCTGCTGAAGAGTCTCCTTAAGCTTTTCCTATTCTCCAGTAAGGCTAGTCAGCACTGGAGTCTTGTATTGGATTTGCTCAGTTTGGCCTTTCCAGCATGAGAGCTTGCTTGCTTTTCATCCCTAAGAATATATTAACTGCCCCGAAACTTCCTGACCAAGAAGAACTGGCATGTCCTAGCCGGCACAAGTACTCCGAAGAGGAATTCATGCTTCGGAGTTGAAATCTTTTGGGAGCTCAAGATCAAAATGTTTAACTTTCTGTTGTGGTGGGGGGAGAAACACAACTGATGAATGGAACAGGCAGCTGCCATCATAATCCAATGTAGCTTGGCACAGAAGGGCCTGGAGACCTGCAGAGTTAAAAGGCAAGCTGTAGAAAATATCAGCTAACTTAACAATCAATTTCAAAACTCTGTATACTGAGCTACCTTAATCAGGGCCTGCAACCCTGGACTGTGATGGCAGCTTCAGCTGGTGCTTTCTGCTGTGATGTATTATAAAACAGGTCATCAAGGAACCAGAGCTAGGTAGAGGCTGACAGTGGCAGGTATTCAGTGTCATATTAGACACTTTAGATCTATTTCAGTATTTAGTAGTGAATAGTCTGGTGTGTAGCTATGAAGTAATGATTCAGCTTTCCCTTCATACATTGGTCCCTTCAAATGCACTTTGGTCCTGAAATTCTAACAGATGTTGCAGCACTAATGGAGTTCAGCCAAAGTGGTGTTTATGCCTGTGAATGACATTGTCTTGTGAAGTAGGAATCTTAACCAGTTAAAGCATAGACAGCATCGCACCATGTGATCCAGTTTATAAGTTTGCACATTACTAGCCAGATTCATGTTAAATTTACATTCTGTAGACGAGGTTTGGTTAAACTTTGTTCCACTTTAGCTGGGGTTTTTGCCAGACTCTGTATTTGTTGTAAGCTGCTATTAGTGTTGCATGTTAACTAAGCCATATGAAATAGATGTGTGACATTGTGCACTTGACCTCTGCAGTTCCTTTATCTGCCCTCTATGTACTGGGAGTGTTTATAGTTCCTGGCTGCAGCAGAAAATGCAGAAGCATTTTGATGGCCATTTATCAAACACTTGATACCTTAGCTTAAGGTTATAGTAAACTATAAGTGAGTGAGCTTCTATGGAAAAAAAATCCAGCCACTCATTTGTAAATGCTTGTGTAACTAGGTCAGTTAACACCTTAAAGCCTCTCCTGTTTCAAGAGATGTTGAATTGCTTCTAATTTTAAAAATAAGTGCTCTGGAGTGAGATGCAGAAGCCATCATTGTTGCACCATGTGGCTGGAAAAGTCCTATCCCATCACAAATCTAAAATGCCACATCACTATAAATCTGTTGGAGATCTCTCGTGGGTACAACTCTTCTCCCCCTGGCTATTAGCAGACTGGCATGCCAGGGGGAATAGCGCTGTCTGCTGCAGCAGCAGACTTGCTGCAATGTCAAAGTAAAAAAGCAAGTCAGGACATAAGCCTCTGTGTATACTATATTGACAACTAAACTGAGGGAAGGATGGTAGAGCATGTCTAGTCAGTTGCTGCTTGGTCACCAGCATGTACAATGCTCTCAGTAATCCAGTTTTCCCTGGGGAGGGGAGAGGTCAGGAGAGTCTCCGAACATGTGAAAGAGATTAGCTGGGGAGAGATTGTAACCTGTTGGGGGCTCCCATGTGGGTTAAGTTCTAATTTTTGCAGGGTTAGTATTGGATTTTCTATTACATATTCACATCTCCTATTCAGATTTTCTGCTAATATAGCAAAGCTGGTGCAGGGCACTGCAGACTCCTGGGAGGCAGCAGTGAATGTCATGTGCCAAGCATCCCTTGAGCCAGTTGTGAAGAGGATAGCCATACATTGAAGGGGCTCTTGCCCTGGGGTTTTCAAGATTCATTGTTTTATTTCCTAGTGCTGGGCTTTGACAAACTTCCTATCTGGGGTATCCTTCTAACTTCGGCGGGGAGTGCTGTTGTCTGTGCTCTCATCGTCTGGTTCTTTGTGTGTCCAAGAATGAAGAAGAAAATAGAACGTAAGTAATACTTTAGAATGACATAAAATCACATGTTCTGCTTAATGAGTTACTTAAATATCCTGTTTTGGCTCATCTTGCTTGTGGGTGGGTGGGGGGGTGTCTTACAAATCTCCCCTTTTAACAGTCTGTTTTATTAAAGGATCCTAAAGGGGGGTTAGCACTCAGATCTCACTCAGCTTCCTCTGAAAATCTCATGAGTCACTTAAGTACTGTATTTGTAATCAAGCTTTTGCTGGTTACTGTAAAACTAAACTTGCTTATAACAAGGGGTGGCTTCTAAGAGGGCCCCTTAAGTATGCTTCTAGCTGAGTAGCCATCCACTGGTAAGAAAGTACTGTTGGGAGGCTGCAGCAACTTCTGTACCTACTTATCTGTTGCAGATCAAGCTGCATGGAGTAGGTGTTAGGCACACAGCACAGAACAATTACCTGGAGTGGATATACTCCTAAACAGCACTATTTCATCATTAATCTTAAAGGGTGCCCAGGGTAGAGAATGCAGGAGGCAGTGTGCCTAATTGTGGCATATAACCTTTAATACCATATTGTACCTAATGAGCAATCTGACCTTGCTGATGCAGATTAGTTTTAAGTAGGTGATCTCATAAAATCCCTGCCCTATAGCAAAGAATACCTGTTGAAAGGCACTCAAATAGCATTCCCCAGCTTTACCTTCTTAATGTTCTGAGGGGCTCCTCTATAAATTACACGTGAGACTTGGGAGAGACATCCTAAGCAATAAGTAAGAGAAAATAGCTATTCACAAGTACCCTTGTCAGGTTTGCATAAGTGGTGAGAGACTAATAGCTTGTTAAATACTTTCTGGTTGCCTTTGAAATTTGTCTGTCTAGAGACAGCTCATCCTTCCAGCTGTTAAAGGAGTTTATACTCTTGCCAGGAATTCAATTTTTTCCCCCTCACTAATGTAACTTAGCAAATCTGTTTGCAGCTGTTGGGGTTTCAGCATAGCCGATTCCTAAGCAGAACCCCGGTGACACACATACTGGAGTAGTTTGAGCAGCCCCACACAGCACTGCAGCAGAACTAGGGAACTACAGAGGTTTCCTGCTATTAGTATCTGACCTGACCAGCCAGACTTAAAAAGTTCTGACCAAGTGCTTGCAGTGAGCTAATGAGTTCTGAAATCAATGGTCTCTGCTTTAATATAGTACAGATTGGGAAGCTTTTAACTGACTCCTAGTGTTCTTGCTCTGAAGATTTCAAGCATTTGTTAGCTTTGCCCTCCCTTCTGTAAGGTAGAAGTTTTTCCATTTTATGGCCTGGGGAAACAGGCAGATGTTAAAGCCAATTTTCAGACCTGGCTATACGGTTAGGCTCTTTAAATAACAGGCCATGCTTTCTCAGAGAAGAGCTGAGAACCCACAGCTCCTTCGGGAGTCATTGGAGACCTATGTTCAGATCCTCTGGAAAATGCTACTTGTATTTAGGTGCTTGCTTAGGCAGCCAAAAATGAATTTAGGTCAAGGTCGTGCAGTCAGAGGCAGGATCACTCCAGAGTCCCAGTTCTGCCCTAACTAGTAGACTGTTTCTGTTCATGTTTGAAAGCTAAAGTTCCACCATCAAGGCTCTAGATTAGAGCTGAGTGAATAATACACTTTTTGGTTTGGGGGCCAAACAGAACCTCATTTTCAATTTGAAACTAGCCAGTTTTTCTCCCTGGAATGGGAACCAAAATTTTTTATGGGGTTTTGTTTGGCCCAGACAAATTCTGATGTGTTTGGTTATTTAGGTGGCTTTCACTTTTTGGGGTTTTTGTAGCTAAATTTCAAAACAAATCACCATTTTGAAAGTCAAAGCATACAACATGAAACACTTTGTTTTGCAATGGCCAGAATGAACCATTTCAGCATTAGCGAGAGTGGATGAGGTAATCTTTTTTTATTGCAGTGTTTCTCAACCTTTTTGATACCAGGGACCGGCTTGCTGCCTTCCTAAACAGTCAGGGAGATCTCAGGAACGGGCATTGGTCCACAGATGGGTTGTTGAGAAACACTATTTTATTAGGCCAACTTCTGTTGGTGGGGGGGGGAAAAGGAAGTTGGTCCAATAAAAGTACCTCACCCACCTTGTCTCTAATATACTAAACCAACACAGCTACAACACTATTACTTCCCCATTACTTTTTTAGCAGACTTATTGTTTGCTGAAATTTTTTTGCTGCCTCTACTCTAGATGTTTAAAGTTGTGTGAGAGCTTTAAAGCCGAGCTTGGTGCATTTTTCCAAAACACTCCTTGCAGTGGAAACCCTAGTGTTGTCATGGCTCATCACCATGTGAAAAAGGTATCTTCCTGCCCAGTGCAGTCTCTGTATTGTCACATGCTTTAACCCAGTGAAAGGCACAGATGAGTCACCTGTATACTCCTATGGCTCATGCATCACAAAGTGCAAATTGCAGCACTTCACTAATGATACCCTGGTGAGAGATTTGCTGCTTAACACTGCTCCCAAGAAGAGTGGCTCTGTCTGTAGTTAAAATCTGGGTTCTGACAGGTGCCAGCTTTGCTCAGGTCTCAGTGGATGCAGAGTAGGCTGGAATCGGGTGTTAATGGCTGAATGGGCTTTAAATGGCAGTAGCCTTTGGGAAAGGGGTCTACTAAGTCATTGCTTCTTTCCACAGGAGAGGTCAAGTCAAGCCCTTCTGGGAGCCCCTTGATGGAGAAAAAAAACAGTCAGAAGGAAGACCAAGATGAGTATAAAGTGCCACTGGACAACGGCGTGGGTGACAAGAGCTCTGTCACTGATGTGTCTGCTGTGCACCACAGGGCAGCCGTGGAGGAGAGAACAGTCTCCTTCAATCTGGGAGACGTGGAGGAAGCCCCAGAGCGGGAGAGGCTCCCTAGTGTTGACCTGAAGGAAACCAACATTGATAGTGGTGAGTTGGGGTTAGCACCTGCCTTGACTCAAGGCCTTATGGCTGGAGGTTGAGATGGCCCTGGCAAATCCAGATGAAGTGGGAGTCCCTTAAGCATGCCATGTGGAGGCATATTCCACCAGCAAATAGATCAGGGCAGAGTGGCACAAGCATGAGATCTGTAGTGTTTTTAGTTTGGCTCCTGTTTGAGGCATGTGCCTCACTCCTGGGCATGTGGGTTAAACTCAAGTTCCATTTGCAGGAGCTGTGCGGTTACCCAGTGGCAACCTTGTTCAGTTCAACCAAGCTGTCAGCAATCAGATCAATTCCAATGGCCACTACCAGTACCACACCGTGCACAAGGATTCGGGCCTGTACAAAGAGCTGCTGCACAAGCTTCACCTGGCCAAAGTGGGCGATTGCATGGGGGACTCTGGCGACAAGCCCCTGAGACGCAACAACAGCTACACGTCGTACACTATGGCCATCTGTGGCATGCCGCTGGATTCATTCCGTGCCAAAGAAGGTGAGCCCAAGGGGGAGGAGATGGAGAAGCTGACCTGGCCTGGAGCAGACACTAAGAAGAGGATCCGTATGGACAGCTACACTAGCTACTGCAATGCTGTGGCAGATACCCACCCGGCTGCTGATGTGGATATGGATGTAGGCAAGGTGGAGATAGGCAGTGGTGACAGGAAGTGCAGCACTGATTCTCTGGAGGAGTGGCATGACCAGGATAGACCAGAAGTGTCCCTGCTCTTCCAATTCCTGCAGATTCTCACCGCCTGCTTTGGTTCCTTTGCTCATGGCGGCAACGATGTCAGGTCAGTAGACTTAATCTACATGACAGGTTTTAGCTGGTTACTCTCAGTGCAAATGTTAATGCAGTATGTTCACTGCTTCTCTGGAGCATGTATGCCTAGCATGCTGGTGTGAAAGCTGCTTATTGTGAGGGCTCTTCTGGCAAATACGTGCTCCCCACTAACCTGGTCATCCAGAAAATGTAGCAAGTTAGGGTTTATAGCAAGATTGGAGTTCATCACTTCTCAAGTCAGCAGCATGGAAAGATTCATTAATTGTCTCTGACTGGAATGCATCTGTTTCCTTCCAGCAATGCCATTGGCCCCCTGGTGGCTCTGTACCTAGTCTATCAGACAGGTGATGTGGCTGCCAAAGTGGCAACTCCCATCTGGCTGCTGCTGTATGGAGGTGCTGGAATCTGCATTGGCCTGTGGGTCTGGGGGAGAAGAGTCATTCAGACCATGGGGAAGGATCTGACTCCCATCACACCATCTAGGTAAGATGCTTCATGGGGGGACACAGGAGGATGTTTATGGTATTTTCAGTATACTGTGTCCTCTGTACTCACCATTGTGTACATAACACATTATTACTCAGAGGCTGGGTGAGCATGTAATTATACAATGCGGAGTCTGCAGCCTACTGAAATTGAAAGGTTCATTAATTCTTTCCAGTTTGTTTGCTCACATTCCAAACTTCCTAGTGCTCTGAGGTACAATAGCTTTGATAGTCGTGACATGTGGTGGGTTATCTTCAGGAAGACCACTCCACAAATATCCCCTCTAATTGCCATTTCCATTGGTATGGTTCTAATATGTGCATTTGAACAGATGGCTTTGGGATCAGGTGCTTGTACTAAACACACATGCCCTCCTCTCTAGGTCAAAAGACAGAAGAGCTGAACCTTCCACTGTGCCTTATAGCTCCACCCTCTGGAGCTTGGGGGGTGGATTGCAAAGATCATCCACTGAATTCCCTGCCACCATCTCCAGGTGGCTGCCCTAAAGGGGACTGATCTCTGATATCCAGGTCCAAGATCATATCAGGGCATTACAGATCAAAGCAAATGCCTTGAGGAATTGAATGCAAATAACTACTGAGCTCAGTGAGTGGCAGTGTGAAATCTGCTTAGTCTTCATTGTGTAAAGGGGGAGTGCCCTAGAGTTATGGATATTTGACTTTTATCTAAACTTCCTGCAGAGATGCATGTATCCACTAGAAATGGAAGGAAAAATGAAGCTCTGATTAAAGATCTCTAACCTTGCTTCTGGCCTCCAGCTAGGAGCTGTCAAGAGGCCCCAGGTGCACTCTCCATACAAAGCAGAAGTGTGTACAAAATCTAATGCCTTAACAATTAAACTGGTTAATGAGGGAGACCTGGAACCCTGCATAGAACAGGAGCCATAAGCCAAAGTTCTGTATGTGCCATGCGCATGGACTGTCTGGTGTGCAGGAATCCCTTGCTGACATTGTGTGGTTCATACCAACCTCTGATATTACTATCTTTGTGTATACACAGTGGCTTCAGCATTGAACTGGCATCTGCTCTGACTGTGGTGATTGCATCAAATGTTGGTCTTCCTATCAGTACAACGCACTGCAAAGTAAGTGAAATGCTTGCCCGTATGTTAAATGGCTCCTGTGGTGACCTGCCTATTAGTTCTGCAGGAAGTGTCACTACTGTCTCAGGAGATGGAGTTAGTGGTGTAGGACCAGATGTGATGGTCTGGTCTACTGTATGAGAATCCAGTTGTCTCCAAGTACTGGTTCTTGCCTTTTTCCTCCTCCATCTCAGATCTGGTTCGTATTGACTTCTAGTAGAATAGCTTCCAAAATACACCAAGCATTGGTCTTGAGTTTGACAGGTCTACAATTTGCATGCAGATCTGTCCATTTGTGGATAATGAACATAGAGTAAACATAGGAAGTGGTGGAGGGAGAAGCTGAAGAGAAATGGGCATTGAGGAAAAGTACTGAACCACTTCTTTCTCCACAGAGGGCTGGTCACCTCCTCCCCATGCTGTGCTGCCCAGTGCAGTAGTCTGGGAGCTGACCTTGTTCATGAAGACAGGGGCAAAAAAAGCATTGAGTACGTTAGCTTTTTCCACATCCTCTGTCACTAGGTTGCCTCCCTCATTCAGTAAGGGGCCCACACTTTCCTTGACTTTCTTACTCTTAACATCTCTTGCTAGCTGCAACTCCAAGTGTGATTTGGCCTTCCTGATTTCACTCCTGCATACCTGAGCAATATTTTTATACTCCTCCCTGGTCATTTGTCTTCCACTTCTTGTAATGCTGCTTTTTTGTGTTTAAGATCAGCAAGGATTTCACTGTTAAGCCAAGCTGGTCGCCTGCCCTATTTACTCTTCTTTCTACACATCGGGATAGTTTGTTCCTGCAACCTCAATAAGGATTCTTTAAAATACAGCCAGCTCTCCTGGACTCCTTCCCCCTCATGTTGTTCTCCCAGGGGATCCTGCCCATCAGTTCCCTGAGGGAGTCAGTCTGCTTTTCTGAAGTCCAGGGTCTGTATTCTGCTGCTCTCCTTTCTTCCTATGTCAGGATCCTGAACTCTACCATATCAGGGTCACTGCCTCCCAGGTTCCCATCCACTTTTGCTTCCCCTACTAATTCTTCCCTGTTTGTGAGCAGCAGGTCAAGAAGCACTCTGCCCCTAGTTGGTTCCTCCAGCACTTGCACCAGGAAATTGTCCCCTACACTTTCCAAAAACGTCCTGGATTGTCTGTGCACCGCTGTATTGCTCTCCCAGCAGATATCAGGGTGATTAAAGTCTCCCATGAGAACCAGGGCCTGCGATCTAGTAACTTCTGCTAGTTGCCGGAAGAAAGCCTCGTCCACCTCATCCCCCTGGTCTGGTGGTCTATAGCAGACTCCCATCATGACCTCACCTTTGTTGCTCACACTTCTAAACTTAATCCAGGGACTTTCCGGTTTTTCTGCAGTTTCATACTGGAGCTCTGAGCAGCCATACTGATCGTGCATACAGTGCAACTCCCCCACCTCTTCTGCCCTGCCTGTCCTTCCTGAACAGTTTATATCCATCCATGACAGTGCTCCAGTCATGTGAGTTATCCCACCAAGTCTCTGTTATTCCAATCACATCATAGTTCCTTGACTGCCAGGACTTCCAGTTCTCCCTGCTTGTTTCCCAGGGTTCTTGCATTTGTGTATAGGCACTTAAGATAACTCGCTGATCGTCCTGCTTTCTCAGTATGAGGCAGGAGTCCTCCCCTCTTGCGCTCTCCTCCTCGTGCTTCCTCCTGGTATCCCATTTCCCCACTTACATCAGGACTTTGGTATCCTTCCCCGGTGAACCTAGTTTAAAGCCCTCCTCACTAGGTTAGCCAGCCTGCTTGTCCCTCTCTTCGTTAGGTGGAGCCCGTCTCTGCCTAGCACTCCTCCTTCTTGGAACACCATCCCATGGTCAAAGAATCCAAAGCCTTCTCTCTGACACCACCTGCGTAGCCATTCATTGACTTCCATGATTCAACGGTCTCTACCCAGGCCTTTTCCTTCCACAGGGAGGATGGACAAGAACACTTGTGCCTCAAACTCCTTTATCCTTCTTCCCAGACCCACATAGTCTGCAGTGATCCGCTCAAGGTCATTCCTGGCAGTATCCTTGGTGCCCACGTGGAGAAGCAGGAAGGGGTAGTGATCCAAGGTCTTGATGAGTCTTGGCAGTCTGTCACATTGTGAATCCTAGTTCCTGGCAAGCAGCAGACCTCTCGGTTTTCCTGGTCAGGGCGGCAGATGACTGTCCCCCTGAGGAGGGAGTCCCTGACCACCACCACCTGCCGCCTTCTCTTGTGAGCGGTGGTCATGGAAACGCCATCCCTAGGACAGTGCATCTCATGCCTTCCAATTGGTGGAGTCTCCTTCTGCTCCCTTCCCTCAGATGTATCATCTAGTCCACTCTCCTCATTAGTACCTGTGGGGAGAACATGAAAACGGTTGCTCACCTGTATCTGCATTGCTGGTACATGGACTCTCCCCCTCCTTCTGGAGGTCAGATGCTGCCAAATTTCTTCACCGTCCTTCTGTCCCCACTGCTCAGCCTGCTCTGATTCTTCAGAATGTTGTACCCATAGAAGCATATCCTGACGTCTGTCTAGGAAACCTTCATTTTCTCTTATGCAACGCAGGGTCGATACTTGTTTCTCCAGACCTCAAACCTTCTCTTCCAATATGGAGACCAGCTTGCACTTTGTACAAAGTTGCTTCTGTCCTGTGGAAAAAAGACAAACATGGCACATCCTGTGCAGGTAACAGCTGAACACTCACCATCCATATTACCTTCATTCAAAGAGCTTCCTCAGCTGTTGCAGCAATTACTCAGAGAAGCCTGCAAGATGAAAGCCTCAGTGCGCTCTCCCCAGGTGAACTCCCAGGTGAACTCCCTCTGTTAGCCTCTGCTGTTAGCTGCTCAGCTGGTTCATTGCTGACTGCCTTTTTAGAACAGTCAGGCCCACCTGGAACAAAGCACTCCCAATTCACTTTTCAAACAATCAAGCACATGGTCAAACTGACAAACTGTCCCTGCAACAGACATTCAGATACTCACCAACACAGCCACTCATTGCAGCACTTAGCGTACCTCCTCTCGGAGGCGGAGTTGGCAGATGTGATTGCAGAGCCATTGGCCATTATCTTTGAAAACTCATGGTGATCTGGGGAGGTCCCGGATGACTGGAAAAAGGCTAATGTAGTGCCCATCTTAAAAAAGGAAGGAGGAGGATCCAGGGAACTACAGGCCAGTCAGCCTAACCTCAGTCCCTGGAAAATCATGGAGCAGGTCCTCAAGGAATCAGTTCTGAAGCACTTGGAGAGGAAAGTGATCAGGAACAGTCAGCATGGATTCATCAAGGACAAGTCATGCCTGACTAACCTAATTGCCTTCTATGATAACTGTCTCCATGAATGAGGGGAAAGCAGTAGATGTGTTTGACTTTAGCAAAGCTTTTGATACGGTCTCCCACAGTATTCTTGCTGGCAAATTAAGGAAGTATGGGCTGGATGAATGGACTATAAGGTGGATAGAAAGCTGGCTAGATCATCGGGCTCAACGGGTAGTGATCAATGGCTCCATGTCACTGGCAGCCAGTATCAAGTAGAATGCCCCAAGGGTTGGTCCTGGGGCCGGTTTTGTTCAATATCTTCATTAATGATGTGGAGGATGGCGTTGACTGCGCACTCAGCAAGTTTGCAGATGACACTAAACTGGGAGGAGTGATAGATACGCTGGAGGGTAGGGATAGGGTCCAAAGGGACCTAGACAAATTAGAGGATTGGTCCAAAAGAAATCTGAGGTTCAACAAGGCCAAGTGCAGAGTCCTGCACTTAAGATGGAAGAATCCCATGCACTACTACAGACTAGGGACCGAATGGCTAGGCAGCAGTTCTGCAGAAAAGGACCTAGGGGTTACAGTGGATGAGAAGCTGGATATGAGTCAACAGTGTGCCCTTGTTGCCGAGAAGGCGAACGGCATTTTGGGCTGTATAAGTAGGAGCATTGCCAGCAGATCAAGGGACATGATCATTCTCCTCTATTTGGCATTGGTGAGGCCTCATCTGTGTCTAGTTTTGAGCCCCACACTACAAGGATGTGGAAAAATTGGAAAGAGTCCAGCAGAGGGCAACAAAAATGATTAGGGAGCTGGAGTACATGACTTATGAGGAGAGGCTGAGGGAACTGGGATTGTTTAGTCTGCAGAAGAAAAGAATGAGGGGGGATTTGATAGCTGCTTTCAACTGCCTGAAAGGAGGTTCCAAAGAGGATGGATCTAGACTGTTCTCAGTGGTAGCAGATGACAGAACAAGGAGTAATGGTCTCAAGTTGCAGTGGGGGAGGTTTAGGTTGGATATTAGGAAAACATTTTCACTAGGAGGGTGGTGAAGCACTGGAATGGGTTACCTAGGGAGGTGGTGGAATCTCCTTCCTTAGCGGTTTTTAAGGTCAGGCTTGACAAAGCCCTGGCTGGGATGATTTAGTTGGGGATTGGTCCAGCTTTGAGCAGGGGGTTGGACTAGATGACCTCCTGAGGTCCCTTCCAACCCTGATATTCTATGATACGTGGGCACTACTGTGGTAGAACAAAAAACAGTTGTCAAACAGACCCATTACAAAGCTGCCAAGCTCCCTGGGCCACTCAGGTCATGGGAAACTTCATTCCTATAAGCCTTGCACTTGTGCATCAGATGCCTGTAATCTCATTGTGAAACTCTCTGCTGGTCCATTGCTGCCTGGCCCCATGCTGTGCTGGCTGTGCACCACAGTTCCAACAGGGAGATTGCTCTCCATAATGTGCACAAGGCACTTGGCCACACTTCACCATGACTCAGGTTTTCTCTGGGCAGGTCTCATTGGATTCAGGCTTGTCTTGTATCTGAACCTAGTCAATGCTGCTCTCTTCTTAGTAAGGCCATATTGGAAACTGAGTTTGCCTGTGGAGGGGCAACATGTTGGGGATGCTGACAGATTGGAGAGGATACCTAAAGAGCTACAAGAATGACCTGAAGACTAGAAAACCTGCCTTAGATAGAGGGAGACTAAAAGCTCAATCTTATTTAGAGAAGGTTGAGGTGAGCTTTGAGAGCTGAGGGCATGCTTCTAGCAGATAAAGGCAGAATAAGATCAGTATCTGGAAGCTGAAGGTAGTACATTGGTTTTCAAACTTGGGGGTGCCCCCAGGCACCATGAGATTATTGGGTGTGCAAGGACCTGACTGGTTATGGATTTTTTTTAAGATTATCAAGTAGGTACTAATCTTATTCCCTGGGGATCCTATCTAACCCTAGTGTGCCTTGGTGCAGGGTGGGTGGGAGGAGGCTGGGTCCCCATTACCCAAGGGAACTGCACAACCTTTGGAGGAGAACTCACTCCCCTGTAGCTTCACTGGGAATCAACATGGCAGCTGTGCTGCACAGGTGTCCTGGCCCCATTGCAGAGACATCACACCTGGTTCATGTGCAGGTAGGGGGTGGAGCTGCCATGCATGAGTTCCCACTCTAGGCAGCTGGGATTTGGGTGGGGTGCACAAGCTGCCTCCCTGTATGTGCTGCTCAGTCTCTAAAAATTGCAATGTCTTTCTAAGATACTCTAGCTGACCAGAAGCTGTTGGGTTTGATGCTGGAAGCACTAGGTGGTGATCTCTGGCCTGCTATGCAGGAGGTGAGATCCTAGTGGTCTCCTAGTCTTTAAATCTGTCCCTTGGTGTATCTTCCATAGGTGGGCTCCGTGGTCTCAGTGGGCTGGCTCCGTTCCAGGAAGGCTGTGGACTGGCGTCTCTTCCGTAACATCTTCCTGGCATGGTTTGTCACTGTCCCGATTTCTGGCCTCATCAGTGCAGCTATCATGGCACTGTTCAAGTATGCCATCCTGGGAGTGTGAGACCAGCTTGGGTGAAATCCATATCATCTCGCTGCTCCGAGCAACTGGAACAATGCTAGGGTGACTCGCCTGGGGAGGAGATGGGAATATTGCATTTATGCTGTAACTGCTTTCATGCTAAATGACTCATCTCTAAATTAGCTGCAAAATAACCAGCGCCCCTGACCTCATTAAGGTCCTGTTTCCTGTTTGGGCTGTGAATTACTGTACATATTTCTATATTCTTTTGTATCCAGCTTACCTTCCATTATGTATGTTTGTCACTGAGGTCCTTTTTTAAATTTTGTTTTTCCTTGGCGCTAAGTCTTAGAACTGGCAGGCACAGTAAATTCTGGTGTGACCAGCTTGGAGGGGTGACTGTTCCACTGACATGTTTGCTCTAGGTTAACAGTAATGGGCACTATACCCAGACCACACTTATTTTTTTTTAAAAATAAAACTTTTAAACTAAACATACCTATTGGCTGACTCCTTGTGGAGCAATACCTATTACACACCATTTCCTGACTGCCCCGCCTCCTCTGCAGCTCACATGGTACCTGTGGGACATGTTGCCCCCTCCCCCAAGAGCTGTGAAAGATGCTGGGGGTGGTTCTTGCTAGGAAGCAAGTTGTAGTATGTCTTGCTTTGCTTCCATTTCAGTACTTACAGGTGCAAACAAGAGAAACCTGCAGTACCATGATGCTCTGGTCTTGTGTTGTCTTTTCATTTTGTGCAAATACACCTGAGCTCTGGGGGGGGGGAATTTTGTTTTGAATCTAGGATGGGCTAAACTCTTAACAGAGTTGATTTAAATGTTGAGATCATTGACTGCTCCCTCCCCATACTAGCCAAGAACCTAGCTCTCTCCAGTGACCCTGACACTACAGGACTCTGCTCCCCATTGCTACCTCTAACTGAATAAAAGCTTAATTTTTGAAACAAATCTTCTTTGGATTTTCCATCCAGTGAAGTGTTCACACCACTTGTGAAATTAGAATGTTCTTATCCCAGGATCTCAGCATGACTAGCTACAGCTGGAGGAACATGACCCCCTTCCAAAGCTACAGCAGCTGGCAGGATTTGAGTGCATTACCTGGTTAACCCAGCCCCTCCCTGATCTAATAAGCCAGGAGCAAGAGCATGTCCAAAGAAATTACAAGCAGCAGGAAAGGTGAACTAAAGTTGGGATAAGGGGAGGATCCTGTGTGGTCTAAACTCCACTCTGTTTACCTGAGGAAAGCAGTAGGTGCCTAACTGCAGTCATTAGAAGCTGCCCTTTGCTACTGCTAGAACAGCTCCATTGCGGTGACCAACCTCATTTTCTCAGCTGATGTACTGTTAAAGAGGCTTCTCAAGGCACACATGCTTGGTTTAAATCAACCCCTGATTTTGGCACACCCTCTAATCCAGTGCTCAGTCTGCTTGTCAATTGGGGATTAAAACCCAGCCTGAATGTTCATGTTGTTGCAGTGCACTTAGGTCAGGGCAATCCAAGCTGGTACTGTCACTGTAACAGCTAGGCCCATATCAAATACAGACGCTTCCCCACTTACGCAAGTGTTCTGTTCTGGAACATCGTGCGGAACTCAAATTTTGCATAAGTCGGAAATGTATCTCCAACCATTACATGCAAAAAACCCCACCCCTCCTATTTCTAGCTTACAGAACTTTTTCCGTAAGCTTGGATGTGCGTATGTTGGCTTTATGTAACTCAGGGAGTATCTGTACACTAGAGCTAGAGTGGGAATGTTCCTCCCTCCAGCAGAAAGTATAGCCACAGACCTGCTTTGGAGCCAGACTGAACCATACTGTTTGAACAGTTCCATTTTGCTACTGCTATAGTGGCAGAAGGCAGTATAGCATTCAGAGAGTGGGGCCCTTTGTGCTGCAGCTTCCTGTCTTAAAGCATACAGGAGCAGCCAGGGTAGACTGAGAAGGGGTTTGGAAGGAGTTAATACCTGGCACTTTCCCTCAGTACCTCCCAAAGGTGATTAGTGTCATCTCCATTTTACAGATTGAGAAACTGAGCTCCACATCAGAGCTGGAGTGAACTAGTCCCACTCAGCCCCATCTACTAGTTAGCACAGCCTCAGCCTGTTGCTGTGGAACAAGCTGTCCAGCCTAGCCAAAGAACTGGAGGAGTAATTTGAAGGTGCCCCACACAGGGAGACAGTGCTCTTGCTCTCAGGGTCTAGAGATGGGCATGGGCCTTCTGTTCTCAAAGCTCCCTCCTGTTTCACTGGAGTAGGAAAGGGTAGATGGGGGGCAGGGCAGGCGCAGTGGCAACTTTCTCAGCCTGTCATGGTAGGGTTGAGGGTTGGTTTCCCCTGTCCACTCCCGGACAGCTGACCCCTGTTTACAGCAGTGCTCTTACCAGGCAGGATGATGCTGCAGCAACACAGAACTGTTCCCCAAGTGCTTGGGTTCAGTAGGTAGTTGGGGGAGGGGATAAGGAAGTGGCTTCTGGTACTCCATTTGCTTCTTGCAGTCTTGGGGGATCTCCTAATGTAAAGTATCCTCCAGCAACCTACCTGTGCTTGTGTTAAAGACTACTGCAAACCCTCTTTCCTCTCTGCTGCTCTTAGCAGTAGAGCGCCAAGCACTTGCTCAGGGCTTGTCCTAGCCCAGGGGTCGGCAACCTTTCAGAAATGGTGTGCCGAGTCTTCATTTATTCACTCTAATTTAAGGTTTCACGTGCCAGTAATACATTTTAACGTTTTTAGAAGGTCTCTTTCTATAAGTCTATAAATAAGGGTTTTAAAATGTTTAAGAAGCTTCATTTAAAATTAAATTAAAATGCAGAGCCCCCCAGATCGGTGGCCAAGACCCAGGCAGTGAGAGTTCCACTGAAAATCAGCTCACGTGCTGCAGGTTGCCTATCCCTGTCCCAACCTTTTTTCACAGGGAGTGAAATGAAGGTGCAGAAAGTGGAAGTGGTTTGCCTGAGGCTGCAGAATCCTATGCTGTGCTCTGGCCCAACCTGCTACTCCTAGAAAAGAGAAAGGGCATAAAGTTGAGCTTTGCCCTTGGGGGCAGGTGCTGGGAGAAGGGGGATAGCACCCAGGGAAGAGGTGAGAAGCAGAACAGCTTGGTGCAGGGGCGGAGGGAACTAGTGTGGAAAGAGGAAGCTGCTGGAGGGCTTTGTGCAAGAGGGTGGGGTCCTTGACACTTCCTCTGAACTCCTCTGCCTGGGGCTAGGGTGGAAACTCTCACTGAACCAGTTCCAGAATAGCACACTGTCCCCTAGGATGTGCCTCTGCATTGTGGGTGCCTGAGTGGAGCTGCGTGGGGCCTGAGTGAGTGCCCAATCCCTTCTAGTGCTGTTGCTGTCTGGAACTTCTCTGAATCCAGCATGATGGGCACCCATGTTGCATGGTTGCTCTGGGAACACTGGCCCTCCTGGTGCTGTGACCTAGCAAACCCACTGCACCCAGCTAGCCAACCTCCCCAAACCATCCCCACTCTAGGACAGATGCTGGACTTGACATCCCAGCTTCTTCACTGGCCCAACCATCCCTCCCCAGGAAGGGTGGGGGTGGACAACCCAAAGGAAAGAAGTTACAAGGCCATGCTTCTTTCCCCCCTCCTCCCCCCCAATTTTAGACCAGGGTGGGGGCCTGTTGGCACAAGGACCTCTGAGCTGCAGTTCCATGGGGGGGAGGGGTGTTCTTCCCATAGTGGACCCCCAACCACTTTAAGGGTCACAGGTAACCACAACAGGTCATGCTGGGAGCCGGGAGCCTGGTGCATGGCTTGGGTATGTGCTGGGTCCAGTAGACTAGGAGTGGGGGAAAGGGTGCACATGCCACCTCTGCTCTGGGGGGCAGCTCTGGCCAGACCAGCCTCACGTTAGCATGAGGTGATCCAGGGCTTCACCTCCACCTGGGCGCATGAGCAATAGTGCTCACCCACATGCCTGTCCCTGTGTAGTTTAAGACCCACCTGTGCTGCTTAGCCCTTTAATTGCCTGGCCAGGGCTGGCCTGGCACACAGAGCCCTCGTGTTCATCCTAATCCCCAGTGTCTCCTGCTTTGCAGGCTGCAGGCTGTAATTAGAGCATTACATTAATTGATATACACCCCATGTCATGGGGGCAGCATAAATTAGCAGGAACCGTAAGTGTGGCAGATAACGGAGGCAGTGATTCTGAGTGAGACCCCGGGTGCTTTCCCAGGCCTGTATCAGTGTGCTGAGGGGCACACGCTCCCCCTGTTCTGTTGAGCAGTTCTAGGGTTAATAACGTGTTTGGATAAATCCTGCAGGTGTGGCTCTCCTGGCTGCGATGGGTGAGGGGGAAGGTTTGTGTGCCTCCATCACAGAAGCTATGCCCTTGTTCACAGATGCCACCTGCAGAGGGTGCTCTGTGCTGCCCTGCCATGGATGTGGCATCCCCACAGAAACCCAGTCTGTCGCTTCCGTGTCCCTCCAGCTTGCTGCGCCGCAGCACTAGCTCCAGCCTCGTCCTATGGATCCCATCCGCCAAGCAGGCTGAATTCCCTGCAGCAGGCACCGTTCTGACTCTCCACCTGCCCCAGCAGGGCCGGCTGGGGCCACAGCCTGGTGGATCTCAGACCCTTGTACCTCATCCTCAGTGAATTGGGTGGCATCTCCCCATGGTCTAGTGTAGTATTTACAGGCACCCCAGGCTGCTGTGTGGAAACTAAAAGGCACAATCCAAGCAACGCTTCCCCTCCAGCAGGCGTGCAGACCACAGCCAGGGGCCTAGAGGTTGCTGTAGAGCAAACCCTGGCAGCTAGTAGCAGAGGGCTGCGTGGGGACCTCTCCCGGGCTGGATCCTGCTGCTGTGGGGCAGGCCCTTTGGCAGGAGGGATTCCCGTACAGAGATGTCCCAGCCTGTGCTTGGATACAGCCTGAAAAGCTACGCTGGGGGAAGGAGCTGGTTCCTGCTCTGGTTTGTGATGAGCTCTGTAGAATAGGAGGAATGAGGGGTGGAAATGCAGGTGCCGCCCATCCAAGGTCAGCCCCCTCAGAGACGGGTTGGTGCCACCCTGACCCCAGTGCCTGTCTGCCATCACTCATCTGGCTTTGCAAAGAGGCATGAGACTTCTTCCTGGATTACAGATGGGGAAACTGAGGAAGTGGAAAAGCCAGGGCTAGAATCCAGCAATGGTGGCTGCTAGTCCTGTGCTTTAACCAATAGACCCTGCTGCTCCGATCTCCGGGGATCTGATAGCATGTCCTGTGTCACAAGGGAGTGGTTTGAACTGCTACCCCAGGCCCAGGGCTGGTAGCAGAGACGGAGAGGGGAGAGGTGGGTGATTCCTCAGCCTGCAGCAGCTCTGGGCTTTCCCACACACTGGCTGCTGGGATCTAGCATGTTGCTGTGCAGAGGGATTGCAACAATGTGAAGCATGGGACCCAGCCTAGAACAGTGGGGGGAAGGGGGGCAGGTAGCAGCCCTGATTTGTGCTGGCTCTCGGAAGGAACCCATGGCCCCTCCACCTGCTGCTTGGCTATGGGCACCTCCCACCAAGCTCCAGCCCAATGTCAGTGCAAGGTCACTGGCAGCTGTCGCAGTCAGGTGTCACCGACTCATTTAGATCAACTCACCTCTCGCCTGCTCCCGGCGCTGCTCTGCCAGACTACAGCACTGCAATCCCCAGTGCGCCAGATGCACCATCCTGCTGGTCAGCCACCGCCAGGCACTTTCCATGTGCGCGAAGGCGCTGGGCCCCCAGACTGATTTACCCACAGCATCTGCCATGCCCCAGCGGTGCTAGGAGACAGAGATTTATGTAAAAGGCAAGAAACTGGGTACTGCAGGCTGGGGGTGGCTGACAGTCTCCTGGGAGCTCACT